TGCCCAATAGTCTGATAGGAGATGAATGAAAAAAAAAAAGACTTCTTGCCATGGGTTAGGATGAGCTTAACATATCCTCGTGAAAATCAAAGTGAAATTCTGCTGCTGTGTTTCTCAATAACCCAGTGAAAATTCATGTGATGTAAAACCCGACCTCTTAATATATAATATCTGGTACAGTTACCTTGCTACATTTGACACCTATAACGTGTTTTCATACCTATATTGCTCCTTTAAGCCTGATACACATTTGTAATGCACATTGTCCCTTCATAAGGATCGAGCCGTAAAATTACAAAGTAGATAAAAAACGAAATCTCCACTGTTTCATTAACACGTATCAGGTATTCGATAATATGAGTTATAGCCATGGTGAAGGGTATATGCAGATTCGGCATTGCTACAACATGCTTATAGCTCATGTGTAGTCGTATATATCACCAGGAGATCATGAACTTTTATTTTTCTGCACGCCGCGTATACGCTGAGATGTACCCACTCGCCGAGGATCGTGTCAAATGTACTTTTACCTTGATTGACTACAATGCCAGATTGTAAAGTTCCATCAACAACCGGTTACTGAAACCGGCCCACAACGAATACCAGTGTTTTCCCAAACAGGACGCATTGCGTTATTCAATAACCCTGTACACACCACGCACAATATTCCCAGTTTCACCATCCGTAAAGGTGAACCAATATTATTGATGCCTTTCAACGCACACAACACGCCACAGTCAACACTGCACATTTTTTGAAGACGATGTTGCTGTTCCTCGCACAGACCACCATGAGTGTTAACTTCTCCGAGATAAACAGCCAGCCAGCGTGGCGAATATTTCGTCACGCACTTTATCACACACCTAGACGTTCTCCGACACATGCCACAGCTAATGTTGCCATTGTGAGTTGAAGATTAAGCTTTCAAAAAGAAAAACAAATTTGCCCCAAGCACCGAGCGACTGCACCCCACTCAGCCACCCGCGGGAGTGTTCTGCCAACCATCGCCTTGCACATGCACCGGTGACGTCACGCTGTGACGTACCCCGGTAGAGGTCTATTTCGGCAAATTGTATGGTTTTGGCGCAGCTCCACACAAAAACAGGGAATGGTATCAAATTGACCTCCACGGCCGTTTCATGAAGCATGCGATCACTTTTTCGCTTCTAGTGCAGTGCCGCTTGTGCCCCCTCCCACTCTAGCCACCATAAGCCGGAGAAGCCCAAAAATCGCTCGTAAAAGGTGTATCGGCCATTGGCTGATTTGAACATGGTGCGCTCAGTCATTACAGGGATTGCCGCGGGAAGCCGCGACTTGTCCACGCATGTGCGATTACCCGGAAAAAGCCCGTATTTGAAGGAAATTGAAAAAAAGTCACAGCTTTGCTGCAAAAGCGAAGCAATGAACGCGATAGCAACAAATTGGAAGGTCAAGCGCAGAATGGCAAGCAGAAACATGCCTCACGTTTCTCACACACAAAAGAAGCACGAAACGTACTCACAGGTACAAATGAATGCGAATAAGCTTCTCAGTTGTTACTTCACTGTGTCTGAAAAGCGTGACTTTTTTGCAAACCGAGACTGTGCAACGATTGCAGAGAGACCTTTGTGCGCCCAGTAACTACAACAGAATCATTTCTGAAAACCCAAGGGCAGCCAAGACATAGGATCTTCCCCACCTTGAAATAAGGTCGTACGAGTGGCATCGCCCTCTTCCTCTCCATGGCGCAAAGTATGCGTGGGCGATGAGAGTGTGCGCCGCTACGTCGCAACGATGTGGCAGCGCACTCATTGCGCCATTTTGCTAGTAATGCTGAAAAAATGATAGTTCTCCCCGAGATGCCCGTCAGAAGCAGTAAGTGGTACATATAAATAGCTTGCCATTTGAACGTTGAAGGAGGTGCTCCTTTGTGGCTCAGTGGTTAACACCTCGCACTCATGACTCGGAGGTCCCAAGTTCGATTCCGCATGCCGGAGAGTTTTCCTGGATTTTTCTTTTTTGCATTACATATACATAGATACGTATTAATATACGGTGAGTGACAGCGACGCCGGCGGCAAAATCCAGCCAAGAGTGTTCATAAAATTCCCATCGCAATACAACAAAAAGGTGCTCAAGCTCACGAGGAGCGCGCGATGTACTTTCCTTGCTTATGCTATCCCTCTCTGCTTAGCTTCCAGCGCTTTCGTCGGGACAGAGGAGAGAGACTGTGATTGCAGCATGCGAAAAATATTCGCAACTATGCTCATCCTGAACGGATTCTCAAAACTCTGCAGCGTTGAATTTGTTAGGCAACAAGCTCTCTTAGTGAATCCATTCTATGGTTACTTGAAAAAAAAAAAAAAAAAAGTGTTTCAGGGCCCCCTTATAATTACTGTATCATTCGCAGAGTATACAGGACCGTGATTGGAGTGCCACAAGAGCATTGAATTGCCATTGCTTTGACATGGTCAAAAATGTAACCAGAGTTAGCCTTTAATAAAGCTCAGGCAAGTAAACGAATGTGCTAGTAGTCACTAATCGAAGCACACAGACATGTGTGTGTTATTCCTTATGCCACCACTTTCAAACTATGTTTAAATCGATATGTGACGACCTAAACCATGAGCCCCTAGCACCACTTCTCTGGACCAACTGTCCGGAGAAGTGTCCAGAAATGCCATTAGTTTTTTTTTTTTTTTGCCCATTCTACGCTAGCTGGACACCACATTAGCAACAAATTTTTTGTACACTAACTGCACAAGGTTCTGAGCAAGTCAGCAGGTAATAAATAGAAGCACAGTAACAGACTCCTCTTGCCATTTCAAGCATCTATTTCGTATTATACAGCTTCCTGAGGTTACAGCAGATCTAAAAAGCTTTCGGCTAAATTTTCTTTACCGCAAAAGTTGGTGTCTTCTCCAGTCATGGCTGCAGGATTTGCCTCGGTGGAACCTTCAAAATTTGTGTGATGTCTACGATGCCCAACAACGTATCCCCTGTACTGGCAGCTTGTAATAAGATCATGTGCTATGTGATAACAAAGAGGCAGAGAGAGAGTTACACTCTCGCCTTCATGGCTACTGGCGGTGCTGACTGATGCTCCCTCATATATGCCCTATAATTTAATGCACCCTTCTTTCCTTTATAACAAACACCAGGCAGTTAAGAGGTATACATTTCACACATGTGTTTTGCTCATACGGCTGTTGCATTTACTGGCCCTTATACAACTGCAGCTTCTTAAATAGGCTGTATGCCAGACAGCGTTGATTCTGCCTCAACCCAAAATTCGTGAATACGCATTCATGTGCCTCGGTAGCTGACCAGCTAATTTCTTGAAAAAAAAAAAAAGGAAATATCCTGAAATTCCTCCGGAGAAGGATAATTCGGCAAGGTAAGAAGGGAAGGCACTCCTTGGTCATGGATCAAGATTCCAAAAAAGCAGAGGAAGATCCATCAAGAATAGAGAATGCACACCTGTGCTTCTAATGAAATGCTCAATACACATGCATACAGCATTTCATTCGCCCTCGTTGGGCAAATAAAATAGCTGGGAGGGGAGAAGAGGCCACATATTTGAAGTCTCCCGAAGGGGGGCACTTTTACAGTAATGGGATACACTTCAAAGCAATGCAATATAGTCGATACATCAATAACGCACGTCACGAGTGAGATACAAATGTATCTCGATACATAAATATACAGATACTTCAAAGTATCTCCCAAGATGAGTCACCAGTTTAGTCTGAATAGACTGAATTGGCGCCTTGGACCTTTCTTTCAACTAGAAGCGGGACAACACCACATAAAGTACCGTCATGAATGAGCCAACAACACCTTGTAAGTGCGAACGCGTGCGGGTTGGTGCGCGTATTTTCGAATAGATATAACCGACGTGCACTGGTAGCGAAGCCAGCTGCAGTGACGGCGCGACAGTTCCGCTTCGAGTGCACCCGAAACGTGCGCGTGTAGCTCGATGCAACACAGGTTTGGCGGATTAGAAACGCCGATCATGACGTTTTCGTTCTGCATTCCAGATTACAAAAACCTGCGGGCCCAATTTCGTAGCGGAAGTTATTTGGTACTACAGCAACGGCCGAACGTGCGGCTGCTTTACAGCAGCCAACGTAAATAAAATGAAGGCGTCGTTCGGGAGGACCAACAGGCAAGCGCCCAAGGTCCCCTTGCAACATCGAAGAAAGGACCGTCACACAAACCAAGGATATTCACAAAAACGTCTCCCCAACCCCAGTTGGAAGCATGTGCGCCCAATGACGGGGCTTTTCAAATGGTTCCCCCGCACTCTCGTGTCTGGGAAACGAATGAAAAAACGATGACCGTGTCGTTGACCAGCTGAATGGCACAACACCGTTCGCATGTTCCGTCAATATACTGCGGCGAGCCAAGCACCCTTATTGATCGCCCTTGAAGTGAAGGCCTCGGACCGATAGTCATGCACGCACCACCGACTGACCAAGGGCGCTGGAATATGGCCAAGCGTGAAAACAGCTCAAACGAGATCAGCGCGAATGAAAGAGCAGATCGAAAATGAAGCTCGGTACGATAAATTGGATTTAATGTACACAGGGTAGTCACTCGCAACAGAGCATTTGCGAGACTTCTTGCGAGTGTCGTGCGATGAAACCGTATTGCTTCACTGGCCTACATAAGAAAAGAAAGCACTCAAATCGAGACAGGCCGGACAAGGAACCGTCAGTTTCACTTCCTGAACGGTCTTCCGAGAGGCGTTTTGCTTTTGCCTATTTGCTCGATTTCTCTCGCCCAGTTCTTACGCGGCATAGCAACCAGAGAATTTGCGTTAAGCCGCGGCGATGCACGGCAACCAGAACTTGGAAAAACGCACGTCGCGCACAACGAAAAGGCTTCGAGAAAGCGCCTCCGCTGGAGTGGCGACAATGAAACCACGCCATGGTTCGGGGCCCGTTGCAAGCCGCAGCTGCGACGTGCCCAGAAACGACAATAAACGTCAAGAGCCTTTGTCTGGCGCAGGACCGTACCTTTCCGGCGGCGCGGCCCAGCCTGACGATGCCCAACTTGACGCCGGACACCAAGGAGTCTGATGGGCCCGCCTGGTCCTTCATTTTGTCCAGCTAGGCATACAGGAGCCACCGCTCGATTCAGCCGAGCTCGCGCGGACACAACACAGCCACACGCTCGATCAACGACTCGTCGTCACACTACCGACAGCCGCGCAACCGCAACGGCGCGATGAACATGTGAAGCTATAGCATAGAGAAATATACTACCTATAGTGTCCACTATAGTGAGGCCACAGAACACCTATATACTACCAACGCCTAGATTTCCTGTGCCTGTCGGATTATCAGCAGTCACTTGGGAAGCGGCGGTTGTCGGAGCTACGATGGTGGCGCCACTCAAGTAGGGGGATGTCTTCAAATAGGTTTTTACGTTTTTGGAGCTTATATGCAACAAAAATGGCGTAAAAAAGTTTTCAACAGGTGTAAAAGTACTTATAATTAACTCTACGTAAGTGACGCCGCCATTCAACAAGCTACTTTTTTAATACAAGGTATCCTCCGAAATTGGTAACAAGCGCTAAAATTGCCAATCTTAAAGGCTAAGTACAAAGAAACTTATGAACAGATGAATGAATAAATATGGCACACTCATCCACAAACTAATAAATGCCTGGTGACTCACCCCCGAAAATGCCCTACAATAAAATAAGTGCTAAAGGGATTTCAACGGCTGCCTTATAATTGTAAAGACAAGCTCAAAACACGCAAAACAATTTATCTGCGCAGTCGATCGGGAGCGCTCCAAAAACACGTCCATCCACCGTGACAGTCCGAATTAAAGACGTGGTTGGATGCATGGATATGGCTGTACCCTTTAGATCGGGCGGTGGCTAGCGTCACCAAGCCGTAATACTTAATGAGTCAAAAACTAGGTTTATTTTTTTCCCCTTAAATAGTGAGGTTGAGGATTAGCACTTTGCAGTGATGTGTTTAATTAACACTCCTACCTTGACTTTAGCCACCAATCAGATAACCTTCTTCTAGTTAATTCTACCTGCTTAAAGTCTATTTTGCCCTCACTGTCACTAAACCCCAGTGCTTTGAAAAACTCTGCGCCATGATCCTGAACTACAGGGTGAAGCCCTTTACAGAACATTATCAAGTGTTCGGCAGTTTCTTCTTCCTTTCCACATGCACTGCATACCGTGTCTACCCCTTCGTGTTTGGCCCGATATGCCTTGGTTCGCAATACTCCTGTCCTGGCCTCAAACAGTAGAGAACTACCCCGAGTATTATCATAGATCCTTTCTTTGGCAATTTTCTGCTTAAAAGTTCAATAGATCTCTAGCGCGGACTTCTTAATCATGCCATTTCTCCACATTTTGGTCTCAGCTTCCTTTACCTTCTTCTTGACCGATAAATTCTTTTTGGTTTGGCCCCCTGCTGTTTTTCAAGTATTTACCAGTCAATTTTCTGGTTCGCTTCCACCATTTTGTATCGACATTCTTCATGTACAAGTAGCTGAATACCTTCCTAGCCCAACGATCCTCCCCCATTTCTCTCAATCGCTTCTCAAATTTTATCTTGCTGCTAGCTTCCCTGCCCTCAAATGATGTCCATCCCATATCACCTTGTACTCCTTGATTTGGTGTATTCCCGTGAGTTCCTATAAGGCAAGCCTACCTATTCCACATTGCTTAATTTCTAATCTTGCTTGAACTTCTGATCTCATGCACAAGACCGCATTGCCGAACGTCAGACCAGGAACCATGACCCCTTTCCATATTCCTCTCACAACATCATACCTATTGTAATTCCACGGTAATTACACCTATTGTAATTATTGTAATTCCTTGTTTTCACGTAGACAGCGCCGCCATAGATAACCAGCGTTTCGCGCTCATTCGGTAGGCACAGGAAATCTAGGAGGCGTTGTTACAACAAACAGGCCTCGAAAACTCTCAAGTTCAAGTGATCACCTGTAGAAAAAAAAAAAAAAAAAAAAAAGGCAGCGTCTTCTGCGCCGCGCGGCGCAGCAGCCATCCCCACACAGAAATGGCTTCTGCGCCGCACGAAAGTGACGTCACTTAAAAAGTTATTGGCAGCGTCTTCTGCATCGCGCGGCGCAGCAGTCATCCCCACACAAAACTGGCTTCTGCACCGCACAGAAGTGACGTCACTTAAAAAATAGTTACCCAAAGCTAATTGAATGTGTGAATTATTCGTGCGTATTGCGTTAAACCTACAAAAATTTCATTAAAAAGGTGTTTAACTAGTCAATTAGTTCAGGTTTGTTATTTAATTACGGCAGCGTCTCGTGCGCCGCGCGGCGCTCCAGCCATCCCCACACAAAACTGGCTGCTGCGCCGCACGGAAGTGACGTCACTTTAAAAAAATTAACGTAAAGCTATTTAATAGTGCAAATAATTACTTTATAATGCAATAAACTTACAAAATTGTCATTAAACAAGTGTGTAACGTGTTTTTTATAGTGCATAAACTAATTATTAACGCATTGAATAAAAATATTTGTTTTTGTATATTGTTTTTGTAATATTAGTATATATTGCTCAATTTAACAACCTAATAAATTATTTGTTGGTTTATAAGTATTATTAAAAGGAAAATAAGTTGATTGTTTGTTCTGTGCTTGAGGGTGCAGCGGGTTTGCCCCTGGTTTCGGTTTGGAGCGTATTTTGATCCTACGACTACCCTAATACAGTACATGTGTACAGTATTGTACACATACAGTACACATACGTACAGTATCGCACACAATATTGTACAGTACATGTGTACGTTCTACATCGCAATGTGCCATGTCAACAGCATTCGCCGAACAGGATGTGATAAATCTGCATTGCAACGTCAACAGAGTGTTTCTTTGATAGACCGAAAGGAAATCGGTGGTCTGGCGTCAAATTAATGTGCATCCTTGCCTGTCGACAGAGTGTTTCTTTTGTAGACAGAGAGGAAATCGGTGGTCTGGTGTCAAATTAATGGGCATGCTTGCCTTTCGTTCGCGAAATCTATGCGTCCAGTGACGCTGTTCTGGTACCACGTCTACTGCAACGCGTTTTTCTGTCATCAGAGCCTCAATAAATAGCGTGAACAGCATTGCTTACCCAGTGGCGGAGGAAACGATGCAGTCAGTTGCATCGTTTTCGCTTACGGGCCTGGAGTTTTGTGTGTCCTTGTACGTCTCGGCAAGAAAGTGCATCGATTGTTGAACAAGCGTATAAATGTCCTATTCTGCGAGGATAATCAAACATTCGAAATCAAAGGAGGCGGCATTCAGGAAGATCAGTCCAATATGTGCTTAGGAGAAACTTGTTAACTTGTGTCGCAGACAGTACATTGTTGTTATTGATTTCAGCAGTGCTCTGAGGGACGAGGATCTTTCAGTGCGCTGCTAAAATCAAGAATGCGATCCAACTTGCGTATGCAATTTTCAGTTTTCATGCAGCACATTATTGATCGCCTTATATGAAAAAGTTAACAAAAAGTCATTTATGTACGTGCTATGCATGCCACGTTAAGCTTCTGTGCTAACTATACCCTTGCACTGGATATTAAAATGTTTACATGCTTACACTCTGAGGAAGAGATGGTCCGCTTATTTCTTTTAAACAAATCTGGAATGTTGGCCATGTTGTCGCTTGTGCCTCTAGACCAGGTAGTCGTGTCTGGACCACCAAGCAAACCAGCTTGACCTTCCTCATGCCCAGGGTTACACATCTTAATTCATGCGGCTACGATGTGCTGCTGCACTTCCACTAAGTATGAGTTGAATATGTTCGCAAATAGACTGCCATATAAAGCACTTGCAGGTGCTCTTCGGTTTTCTTTTTTAGCGTGTTATAGTGCAGCGATTGGTTCGCAGGTAGGACTTGCAAACCTTGTACAGCTATGGACAGGGCTGACTATTGTAGCTTCGTATGCATGTAGAAACCTTTTCCAAGTAGAAAGGTTATTATCATCAACATAAGAGAAAGGTATACAAGCTGTTTTCATCCAACCTTTCTTCACAAATGAGATAAAGATGACTAACCCATTACTACTTGAATTACCAGCCATACTGTACAGGTTGCCATCAATTTAATTAATACAACACCCAACATTAAAACCACACTAATTCATTAATTTCACCTGTGACGACAATGTTAGTACAGTCAGCATTAGGCCGGCAATCGTGGCACTGCACGAGAGCCTCTTTTAATGTTGCCTATAGCAGCTAGATTACAAAAGCACTACAATTTTGTCGAAAAACTCACATGATCTACGAAGTCTTCACGTCTCGCTATTGAGGTGACCAGGGCATGGTTGGAAGTGCTGCGATCATATGTCTGACTAAGGAGCTGAAGTGCTTGCTTCATGTGTGATGCCTGTATTGCGTTGATTTGCTTGCATCGGATCCATGCATTCATTGTGCACGATGACCTAAACTGATACGACACATGCATTTTAATCTCTCATAACATAGACAGATTAAGAGATGCCCTTCTTGGCTACTTAGTTCATAACTGAAGCTCAACAGTGGCAGGACAAAAACATGTGGGTCTAAAGGACCGGGCAAAATCCTCCTGACCTTATATGATGGTCTACTGACAAATTTTGTCGCCTCCTCACCTACGCCAAATTTAGTGTTAGTTATAAACGTTCGGCGATTTTAAACTTCCAGGCTTCAGTTTTGTCACTTTATCTATCTTGGCTAGTGATAAGGTAGCCCATGCCTTACTATAAAAGCTTGTTAAGACTTTCGCCTAACTCAGTTTATCACGAAGCCTATACAAATTGTAGGTTCTGATTTTGATGAGATAAACCTTGAAACTTCTTTTTCTGAGAGCCTTTTAGCTCTATGTTCTCCCCATTTTTTTAAACAAAATTAGACGCCGTTCAAAACTACCCGAACTCATGATATGACACATACCTGTTACAAAAGTACGGTGTAGTAAATGTGCATTTTTGCCTCAAAGAGCCAATAAAAAGAAGAAACAAAAATGTCTGTGTAGGTCTACACTGTACCCTATTAATCCTTGGGAATTCAACAGCAAGTGATATGGATTACAGAAAAATGCTCAAAGCCTCAAGCCGTCAGTTGAGGTGCTGTGCACTATCATCATCAGCCTGACTACGTCCACTGCAGGACAAAGGCCTCTCCCATGTTTCGCCAGTTAACTCGATCCTGTGCTTGCTGC